TTAAATATAGAGAAAGAAATATTAGTTAGTATATAAGCCAGCTAGTAGCTATTATAACTGGCTTTATATAGGCTACTACCTAGTATAACTCTTCTTATCCCCTTCTGATACTGCCTAGCTTAAGTATAATCAGGTTATACTTTAAGGTCTAGAAATATGAATTATATTATACCCTAGTAAATATACTTAATAAAATCTAATATTAGATTTAAAAAGATCTAGATATTTAAGTAGTTCCGAATTTAGTATACTAATAACTACTAGAGCTAGATCAGCTTATCCTACAGCTATATTTCTATCTATATTAGCAATTCTTAAAGACTTAAGGGAGATAATTATAAGAGAGAGAGGGCCTAGAGGGTACTAGGGACTAGTCGGGCTGTATTACCGCCTCTCCTTGCTTTATATGGAGGTTAATAATATTATATATAAGCCTAGGTTAGCAAGCTCAGCCAGTCCACGACTTCGGGCGGTGTAGATGAGCGATAAATTTTATATGAAAAAAAATAGGCAAAGCATTCTTCTATTCTGTTGGTAGCAACACTGAGGAAGCCGCAAATAGGGGATAGGCCGAAGGGTGCATGGCGGGAGAGCTAATACGTCGTCTCGCAAAGTGTTGTCTCGCAAAGTGTTGTTTGGCAATGGGTTGTCTGGCAATGCTCGCCCTTTCCAAAAGAGTGTAAGAACAACGAGCATGCCTTGAGGAACGAAAGGTCTATGCCGCGCCCCTGAACTTAAGGCCTCCTCCTGATTGGTTGAGCTCGTTCTCGCTCTCTGATTAGCCTACTTCTCGCGTCCTTGATTGGTCTTTAATCGACGATATCGATATATGACTCCTTGCTCTATTAGTCCCTTTTTCCCTTGGTTTCTTTTCGTTTCTTTATTTTTTTCTTATTCTTATTTTTTTTATCTTCCTCTCTTCTTTTTCCTTCTGCAATAACCCCTGATATGATTTTGTATATATTCTATCTACCTTCGCTATACTTAATATTCTTTCTTTACTGATCTATAGTAAACCTCCCCTGTAGCATCCACCCCCTACAGGCGCGGATCCGGCGCGGGGAATCTATTAATCGTAGGAATTTTACTAAGAATAGCTAAAATAGACTAAGCGTGCTAGATCTATATTCACTAAATAATATATATCCTGTATATACTATATTAGCAATTATATAAATAATTATTAAAATATATATAATATATACTAGCCAATATAGGATATAGTACAGCAGGGTTTAATTTCAGCTTTAACCCTTTCCAGACTGGTTCTATTTCTGGTCTTATGTAACACAAGCACAATATATAACTTGCCTCTAGATATTCCGCTCGAAGCAAAAGCCTTAACGGCCAGATACATACTCCAGAAACCGAACATATATAATAATTGCCCCAAGGTTGCTAACAACGCTAGTTCTTAGTCTTCCGCTATAAGTATCACCATCAGCTTTCGGTTGATCTTCTACCCCGCAATACCCCTGCAACCGCCTCACGCCTATCAGATATATATTAAAGGGAGTTCTCTTCCAGGCCTTCTGTATAATTAGTTAGCCCATATAAGCACTCAGCTGTATATAGCTGGTTAAGCAGTAATAAACCCCTCAGGTATTTCATAGATCCCTTAGATTTATTTAACCCTTAACTTTATCCCTTTATTAATAATTATTCTTCCCGGAAGGTCTATACCCTAATATAATATCCGCAGTACAAAATATATTCCTGCTCTATTCCAGACTATAAAGACACTAGTTACTAAAAAATATAATAAAAAGAACCCTATCTGAGCAACCGTTAACAGTACTACTTAGTCTGTAATTAATAACTATATATCTATATATATCTATACTACTATTATAATATCTTTATTTAAACTATCTGATAATTTTATATAAGATTTTACTTAGCTGTATAGTATAGTATAGAATATTTTAATTAGTATCTTTCTTATTCTTATTATATCTATATATTTCCTTTAGCAGAGATTAGGCTTAGGTATCTATTGCAGCCCAAAATATAAAACTACAGCTACCTCGGAATTAGCAGGTAATATATTAAATATTAAATTTAATAATATTATAGAAACCAGGGTAATAGTTCTAGAAGATAGAAATAGGAATACTTTAGATATAATTATTAGCTAAAAGAAGAGAATAGACTAAGACTATAATAATACCTGTATACCAGTAGCTAATACTCCTAAATAAAAGTTAGCTAGTACAGACTATACTATTAGCTAGATCTGTATAATTATAACTAAGTATATTACTTCCTAAGCCTTTCTCAATAAAGAGTACGAAGGGCCTATATCTATATCTATAAATAATAATAACAGCTATACTCTGGGTAAGATCAGGAAGTATAATATTATCCTTACTATTCTTCCCTATAGGGAGTATAGTATATTATCTGCTGCTAGTACCGTAAGAGATATACTCTACAGTTTCCCTAATATCAGAGTTAGCTTAATAGTTAATATTAGTAGGGGTATACTGAGTTATAAGTATAATATCTGGCTTAGGGATATTATAGTAAGTTCTTCTAGTAATAGGAAGGACAGGGTATTCCAATATAACTTTAGAAAGACTATATAGGACCAGGAGTTCTAGAAGATAGGATTCTTAAATCAGCTACCTATAGTTTTATAAATAGCGGTAAACAAACTTATAGTACAGTATAAGTATAAAGGGTACCAGATTGATATATCTATTAATAATATCTTAATAAAATACCCTAGACTTAGAAAGGAATTTAAATAACCTGAGTTAAGTACTGATCGGCTATATCAGCCTGGGGTAGTCCACCCTCCAGATAATTAGTCTACTTATACAATAGGTTATAGTAAAGACCTATTAGCTTTAATAGTAAGGCCTAATCGGACTGAATATGATAATAATCTATTAATTTACTATAGCCTTATTACTTTAGTAAATATACTAATAAAGAATACTTTAATTCGAGATATATTTATAAAGAAGAATAATATTCTCTGCTTTAAAATAGAAGCTACTGGTTTAATAAACTACTTTCCTTATCTAGCTATTTATAGTATCTATAACTATTCCGATATATATAAGAATAAAGAGTAGTAAGGCTATATAGTAATAATAGCTACAGTATATATAAAAGACTTACTATATAAAATTATACTAAGCAGAGTAGAGAATAAGAAGAGGCTTAGTAAGCTTATCTAGAGTAGTTAGTACTTTCCTATTTATTTTATATATTATTATTTTTTATATTCCAGAATAAGTATTAATCTCTAGAAAGTTAGTAAAAGGGTAGATAATATTTATTAATTAGTATCTAAGATTAAAGATAATAATAATCTCGATAAGATTAGAACCTGGCTAGTACTATCTAACCTATCTATAAATCTAAATTAAGCCTGAAGCCTGTACTATTAAGAAACTAGCTAGTAGTTCCTGGATAGTAATATATATTCAGAATAGAAAAAGAAGAAAAACTTCTTTCTATAGCTTAATAGTATCCCCAGATATAGTAAGATTATTCTTAGTTCTACTATTATTATAGATCTTAACCCTATTAAACTTAATCCTAATATTTTATATTTCTTCTTTAATTTTAATAATATTAAGAAAAAGTTACTAGAGAAAGCTATCTATTTACTTATTTTTCAGTTATATTCTAAATATATTATTCTTTATAGTAAAGTTAATATAGTCTATTCTAGCTTTAGAAATAGAATAAGATAGCTAGATAAGCTATTACTAGATAAGCTCTTATAATATATAATATAGAAAGCGGAGGAGATTTATATTATTCTTAATATACTGAATAAATCTAAGAGGTATAGTAGTTTATATTCTTTAAAATTATTACTAAATTAGATTAAGGGTCTTTATAATAAATTAATTAATTTATATATACTTATTACCAGTTAGCCAGAGCAGGATATTATAGCTTCTTTTAATAGCTGGGCCTATACTGATAAACTTATTTAACTCTAAAGTAAGATAGTAAGTAATAATATTACTACCTATATAAAGACTAGGGTTAGTAAAATACCGAGATAGAAGAAATAGCTAGATATCTAATTAGAGATTAAAACTATACTCCTAGAAAAGACAGATAGAATATATATAGTTCTCTCTGTAGTTTTATACTCTTATAGTTCTACTTCTTCTATCTCCAATTCAGAAGCTAAATATATTATAGGTTCTATTAGATCTCCTGCTAATTTAATATATTAGAGTAATACCTAGACCTACCTTCTATACAGAGAGAACTATAAAACCTACCTAAGATACTAGATATAATATATATATAAATTTTATAATAGGTATATCTATATTAACTAAGTATAGTAAAGCACCTTCTGTAATTTTTAATATATAGTAAATAGCCTTTAAGGCTTAAGGAAGCAGTTAATTTTATTATAGTTAATCTATCAGGCCAGTCTATATTTACTCTGGAAAATTAAATACTAATTCCAGAGGAAATTATCTAATACTACTCCAGTTTAGTAATTCTTATATATAAAGAGAAATATACTGAAATATAGCTTACTTACTTTTTAGTAAAGGAATATCTCTTATCAGACTAACTAGAACTAAGTTTAATTAAAGAACTTAGTAAAATACCTATAAAGGCTAGTATTATTAATATTTACCTCTTCTATCTGCTTACTATATATAAGTTATACTTACCAGAAGAAGCAAGATAATAATATTACTTAGTGGAGTTCTCTGTATAATATTAGATAAAGTATATAAAAGATATCGAGTTATCTTATAAAGAAATTAGACTATTAGTTAAGGAGTATTTTTAATACTAAAATACCTTCTAATTTGGATATTAGCTCCATGATCCGGATGAGTTTAATGAGTTCGATATTTCGTATGATTTCTATGATTTAGATAAGCTTGAAGAGGGCGGGAACTAAGTTCTTTATTATATATCCCTTTGGGGTTTACTTTATTCTTCTACTTTTCTCCTTCAGAATAGCGCTGATATTAATACGCAAGGTGAACGATACTATAGCAATGCTCTTCAGGCTGCTTCAGTACGAGGGCATCTGGAGATCGCTCAGTTACTTATTCAGAAGGGTGCTAATATTAATACACTAGGCGGATAATTCTATAGCAAAGGTAGAGGATTCTATAGTAATACTCTTCAGGCTGTATCAGAAGGAGGATATCTGGATATTACTTAGTTACTTATTCAGAAGGGTACTGATATTAATATATAAGATAGATCTTATAGTAATACTCTTCAGGCTGCTTTAGTAGGAGGATATCTAGAGATTACTAAATTACTTATTTAGAAGGGTACTGATATTAATACCCAAGGTAGAGAATTCTATAGTAATACTCTTCAGACTGTATTAGTAGGAGGGTATCTAGAGATTACTGAGTTACTTATTTAGAAGGGTATTAATATTAATACCTAAGGTAGAGGATTCTATAGTAATACTCTTTAGGCTATATTAGCAGGAGGGTATCTGGAGATTACTAAGTTACTTATTTAGAAGGGTACTAATATTAATATCTAAGGTAGAGGATTCTATAGTAATACTCTTCAGACTATATTAGCAGGAGGGTATCTGGAGATTATTTAGATACTTATTCAGAAGGGTACTAATATTAATATATAAGATAGAAAGTATAGTAATACTCTTCAGGCTGCTTTAGGATAATAGTATCTGGAGATTGCTTAGATACTTATTCAGAAGGGTACTAATATTAATACAGAAGGTAGAGAGTATAGTAATACTCTTCAGGCTGCTTTAGCAGGAGAATATCTAGAGATTACTGAGTTACTTATTCAGAAGGGTACTGATATTAATACCTAAGGTAGAGGATTCTATAATAATACTCTTCAGACTGCTTTAGTAAGAGGGTATCTGGAGATTACTCAGATACTTATTCAGAAGGGTGCTGATATTAATACGCAAGGTGGAAAGTATAGTAATACTCTTCAGGCTGTATCAGCAGGAGGGCATCTGGAGATTGCTGAGATACTGGTTCAGAACGGCGCTGACAGCTTTGCTCCAATGCTTATTTAGAACTAGGCTGCTTCAGAATAGCATCTGGAGATCGCTTATATGCTTATTCAGAGGGGCGCTAAACGAAAGCGCAGGCTATCGGATCAATAAGTAGATATTGTCTCTATAAATTTGTATGTTAGTGTTCTAGCAGTCCGTGATCACAGGTAAAGGGGTATTATTACTGTCTGTTAAATCTAGAAATACTGAGGTCTCCGAGGTGCTCTTATATCCGAGGGAATCCCTTGATTGTCTACATATGCTTGCAGCCTGATATTAGGATTTTTCTTGCCTGGCGGCTTCTCCCGCTATTGTACTATGAAGGCTGACCTGAGTAAGGGCATATCAACCTCGATGTGTTAAACAATCTTGGGTCCACGATTCGAGTCCCCTATTCTCCATAACCGCCGCTGCCAGCAGCAAATATCAGTTCTATGACATAACAATGTGGGTAAAACCTGGTGTATGAATTAATCGAATAATTTTGTAAATAGAGGGTAATAGAGGAGTTCTTGAAATATACAGCAGCATTTCCTCTGCTCGGGAACATTCTAAGCATTACGTATGATGAGCCTAAGCTACCATGTCGACTAAAATCCTCCCGAGACCTCTAAATACAAGGCGAAAAGGGTGTCGCTGGACCGTGAATCTAACACTTCAATATTGTGGGGTTACCCTGTGGCTTCTGTGGCGTTCATACAGAGGCAGAAATGGTGCTTCCCACTGCTTGTCCCCACCCCCATTCGCCGCCCCTTTTCAGGTATTGAACGTGTCCAATGTGAAACATTGGTGATAGGGTAAGTCCCAAATCCACGTCATATGCCGATTAGGACCACAAATATCTCTTGGGATTTTATGATTGGGGTTGATCCAAAAATTGCAATTATTCCATAGCCAGCTTCGTTCCTCAAGGCTCCTTTGCGCAAACTGCAACCGGTTTGCCTCTCCTGTCTAACCTGACCAATCACATGGCAGTCTTTCTTATTTATCTGGATGGATGGATCAGATATAATTAATCTGTTACAAGTAGACGGATTAGTAGTCGGACTGATTATTCTTATAAGTCTTAAGTTTATTTTCTATAGTACCTACTAAAGTATACTAGGCCTTATTTATATATATTATAGAGTCCTTGGATTCCCTGTACTTAATATTTCATTTTATATTTATCCTCTGAATAAATTATAATAAACTAATTATAAGTACTTACTATATACCCTCTAAACTTCTAAATAGGCTATCAGGCTCTATAAAAACTAGTCTCTATAGATTCAGATATAACCTATATAGATCTATAGTTACTAGAGAAGTAACTAATAGCTGAACTATAATATATTAATATAGGTAATATAATACTACTAATACTATTAAGTAGTCTATTACCCCTTTATTCTTAATATTAAAGCCTATATTAATTCTAAACTAACTTTACTTCTCTAGAGATAATCTAGAATTTAATTTTTACCCTTATAGATAATACCCTGAGTACTCTAATAGATATAGAAAAGCTACTATATTATCTATAAGAGAAGAGAGCTATATAAGAGAAGGGATAAGCTAACTAGATAAAGGAGTAGCTAATTAAGTAGAAACTAAAAGGGACTAAGTAGTAACTAAATAGGATAATAAATAGGAAAAGATCTAACTTATAATACTGGATAAGGATCTTAAGGTCTGCTTACTATAGTCTTATTTATATCTGCTTTATAGTTAAAACTAATCTATCTAAAACTACTATAGGTAATATTTATACCTATTATAAGCTTCTTCTAGAGTACCTTAAGTACTAGATTTACTTCTTTAATAAGTAAAATAAGATATTATATATAGTTTATTTATACCTTCTTTCTAATTAAGAAATAACTTTTTAATAACTGAATCTACCTAATAACCTTTAGTATTAAAGTAAACTAGAGCTAGGTATCTTATATAGTTTTATAGGAGTAAAAGGGTATTTATATAGCTTTATATTATACTATTAGTAAGAGATTAGTTAGCTATTCTACTTATAGGAATACTCTTAATACCAGTTATAAATTATCTATTATTCTTATAATTCTAAGTTCTATAATAGGGAGAGAAGAGAAAGCTATCTAGGGAGTATAAGGAGAGTAGACCTACTTTAATATTTAAGTTTATAATAGAGATCAGACTAATTCTTACCTGAATAGTAGAAGTTATCTAATAAAGATAAGACTAGAAACTTAGAGTTATATTTAAGGAGTTTTACTATAGTTAGCTAATACTATATTAGTAAAAGGTAAGACCTAATATAGTAACTTAAGATAAAGAGTAATCCTAAGAAGGGTTTACTATAATACTAATATATAACTCTGTATATATAGTAGTACTTTATAGGATCAGCTAAATAGAAAAAGTATTTATATATATAGGAATTTACTTTATATATATAAGAGATTAGCTATTCTTATATATAACTTTATATAGTTCTGTTTTAGTATACTCTATATATAGTAGGTCTTATATATAATTAGGTAAGTAGATAATATAATTATTAAAAGATTAAAGAAAAGCTACTCTATATATATTATTAATCTATAGTATAATTATATTATATTCCCTTCCTATAATAATATTTCTATACTAAATCTGATTAGGTTTATATTATTATTAGCTCCCTAATAAGGCTATAGATAGTAATATTATCTATAAGGGCCTAAACTCTTTCTATATCTTATCCTATAGGTTTACCCAGTTAGTATAGATATCCCTAAGGGTAAGTTATAGAGCTTATATTTTTTAAGTATAATTAATATATAGAAATATAGTATAGATATATTATTATTAGTTATTTAATTTAGATATCCTTATAAACTTATATTTACTTTTAGAATATATATACTAATCTTACTAATATATTTATATATTATTTTTTAAGTAAGAAATAGGAGTTAGCTGAACCCAGAGGTATTAGAGTATTACTTATATTTAAAGCAGGCTAAATAAGGGTATATATAGTTAGATACTTATAGAGGTATACTATATTATATAATATATAATATTAATATAGTATATACTTTTCTAAGTTACCCTATTAGCTTATCAGATAGCTACTATATTTCTAATATTCAGATAAGTTTATAAAGCTATTAGTATTATATAGCTATAGAGTTTATTATATAGAAGAGGTAATTAGTTAAGGAGATAGTATAGCTTCAGTTATAGTATAGTAAACTTAATCCTATATAAGAGTATTATCCAGCTTATTAGAAATAGATAATTTTAGATAAGGTTTAATATAGTTAAAGTTAAAATCTGTAGGTATAACTATAGAAATATAAATAAGGAAGTTATTCTGGATTATACTATATTCTATTTTAGAGTAAAGTATACTAGCTATAGGATAACTTTATACAGAAGGAAGAAAGAGAAGAGTAAAGCTTTAAAGATCTAGAAAATACTTAGAAGTTTTCCTATAGAGAGACTAATAGGTACTCCTAACCTTCTTAATTAAGCTAGTCTATTATATTATATCTGCAGGAGATATCTCTATCTTTATATATTAACTAATATATAGAATAGAAGTTATTAAGACTGCTTCTAATAGAGCTATTCTTAATAGCTTCTAATTAGACTTAGTATATTATAATAAACTTACTCTACCTATTATACTTAATTATATATCTATAGGTCTGATTATATACCTAAAAGCTTAATTATATATCTATAAGTTTTCCTTTTATAATAGAGTTAATCTTATAAATTCTATATATAAAAAATACTTCCAGCCTACCTAAAGATTATTATTTATATATCTTAGCTCTTTTCTGAGCTCGAGCAGAGTTTTAGTATCTTAAGTTAAAGAGCAGTTATTTCTCTTCTAACTATAAGCTCTAATACTATCTCTATTAGTAAGCCTTATACTACTAGCTTTAACTAAACTACTTTTAACTTTACTATATCTAGTCTAGTATCTCCAGTATTAATTACTTTATCTTTACTACCTTTAATTAGGCTAACTTCAGTACTACTATCTCCAGTATTACTATCTCTAGTACTATCCTGCTTTAATCTATCTATCCTTTACCCTAAGATCTTCAGTCTTTTCTGGTTTAACTTTAAAGAGTAATTATATATAGTATAGTTACTAATTTCTATTTTAAAAAACAGGTCTATATATATTTTATATAATATAATAAGCAGAGAATAGATATCTTATAGTATATTAAGTCTAATTAAAAGTTATTTAGGATAACTATATTAAAAGTAGGTATAATAAGTTCTATTCTATATTCTGATTGATATAGGAAGATAGAGAGATCTTATCTTATATAATTATACTCTAGAATAATCTCCTTACCCTTATCTCTATAGTTATATCTGCTAATTTTAACTTCAGCTATATTAAAGCTTAATTAAAATTTACTATTTCTAAGATAGTAACCGGGGAGTTTATACTATAAAGGCCTCCTACTATAATAATAGCTAGACTGAATAGCTAAGAGATATAAAGTAGGAGGATATACTAAGCTAGTTTTCAGAATTCAGTAAGAAGTTAGTAATATTTATAGAGGGTAAAGCCTCTATACTAATATATTAATTAAGACTATTAGTAAAACTGAATAATATAATTAATAGTTTTATAATTAAATAAAAGATAGATATTAAGCCTGTTAATTCTTATATCCAGAGGGCTTAAAGATACTTATAAACTATACTATACCTCCTATTATAGGAACTTTATATTTAATAAACTCTTTCTCTCTCCTTAGTAATATTCAGTCTGACTATTTTTACTATAATAGTCTAACTATCCTATAAAAGAGGGTATACTTTATCTTATAAACTATTATATTAGTATAATTTAGCAGACTAATTTATAGAAGAGCTTAGCTTAAAATAATAAAATAGAGTAATATTAAGTAACTGATATTAGCTAGTATACCTAAGTTATAGAGTTCTTAATAGTCTTTCTACCTTAATATTAGATATATAAACTGTAAGTAATTATAAGGTAAGCTAGACTTCTAGGAATAAATCTTAAGGCTATCTACTCTATA